CGTGTTGGCGAACTTCACATGTCTTCGAAATATTTTTTTTCTTATTCCTCATGTAGGTTTCATCACGATGTTTTCCTTCACCGCTGAGCACGTGGTAAATCAGCACTTGAAATTGCAATTAACAATTTCATTGGTGCCGGCAGGGATCGAACCCGGGTTACTCGCGTTCTTTTATATTTACAGCGAGCGTTAACCATCTGAGCTACAACGGCTGTCCTAAGCATTTATGAAAACAAAAATTCTGTACATTTTTTTAATTAACTGGTTTTTACGGCTCTGGGTTCTAGCCATTGTGAGCCTATCATTTCTTTCGGAATCTTCATTTTTATATATTTTTTCTTCACAATATGCTCATGCGTCACATTGCGAAGTTTTTTGGGAGATTTTGCCGACAGCTCAACCCAGCGGACAGTTAATGATGACAGCCACTCAATTTCATAAGGCGCCCAACCGATCAAATTAACTTGAGGTTTATATCAACATCAAAGCACTTGTTTCGTCGTTTTCTCTAATACTTCACACGCGCAGAAAATTAATTCACAAAATCGCATCACTTTTACGAATCAAATCCACTTCAAACCATTATCCTAACTACAAAACAGGAGCGACAATTCGATGACGGCCAAGTTCCCGCCAAAACCAAAATTCTGTATAAATACGTTTTTTTTTTCCTGGTTAATTTTTGTCATTTGATCGTTTATTTTTTCGTTTTCGACATTAGCAATTTTATATTAACAAATAATAAGCAAAATGTGTCAATCATGAATGATTCGTTCGTTTGAGCTGGTACACTTAAAAGTACTGATGGTTCATACATCTGTTTTTGAATTTTCCGGTACAACCAATCACAAACAATTTACGAAACCTTTTTAACTATTTTTAATGAGTCGAAAATCGAACGAATTCCGAATTATCTGAATGATTTGTTTTTAGTGAAGGTTACACAATGCAGTGCATGTATTCGAAAGTGTTGTTAAGTTAGGCGAAAGTAAAAATTTACAGAGTGTAATTTAAAAATAAGCATAGCTTAACCCTGCTTTGGAAAATATGCGTATACAGGACCGATAAAGGTTAAATTTTATAGCAAATAAATGTTAAAATCCTTATTTTTAGACATGTAAAGCCTAAATTTTAGTGTTCTAAATCAAAACAATATTTTCTTTCCGCTAAAATTGCTAGCTTAGTAATAACTAGCGCCATCTATTTAGTTCTATAGTTACAGATTAAAGTCATTTTCATTTTATCGAAGTCGAACCAAAATTGATGACACTTTCAAAGTGGTACGCACAATAGATGCTAGATGGCCTAAACACAAAAAACTTAATATGAATCAGTAAGATGAAATTGTGTATTGTTAGAAATGAAATTTAAAAATAAACAAATTTATTAAATAAATAAAATATAATAATATTGATTCTTATGTTTGTCCATTCCATTCATAATTTACCGACCGATTTATGTTGTCTTTGTGTTTATGCCATCTAGCGTCTATTGTACTTACCACCTTGAAAGTCAATAAATTTTTGTTCGATGAAATGACTTTGTTACCTACAGCATGTAGTAGATGGCGCTATTACAAAATCAACTAGAAAATTTTCGTTTCCCAATGGATCTCACAGATTTACAGAGTACTGGAGCCCGAAATGATCTATTTGAATGATCGATCCGAATGTACCGGTACGCGTGACGAAATGCACTAGAATGATTCGGTCACAAGAAATGATTGATTGACACATGTCTAGTCACAAATGTTCATAATATTATACACACTTTTTTGTCCATGAGTTTATTTATAACTTCATATAATATGTGTAATTTATACACTAAAACGTCGACATTTGTATACTAAATTAAATTATTATCTTATATACATTTGCATCTCGTATTTTTATACAGATAAGTAAGAGTAGTAGCTTCTAGATTAGAATAAGGCCGTGAAGATATAACACTGCACTGATAAATCACACCCACTTTTGTATAACATTACAAAAAAAAGGAAAAAATAACAAGAAGTCCTAGGTACGCTATTTTCTTACGACACACTGTGTCACAGGACACAGGTTCGACGCGTAACACAATAATGCTTAGACATCGTGATAACGCGAGCCAAGTAGTATATAAAATTACTACGTTCAACGCGAATAATTGAGTTATCGCGATGTACCTATGTAATCAAGTCGTCACCGGGACTTGGTGCTTCTGAATTTTTTACGTGGTTGAGCCACGCTACTGCTATATTATAATTATAATACGAATGGGTCGGCTCGACCGGGGCAGCTTTCACGGAATACCAGCGTGAAATAGCAGCGTAATGCTGCTGTGTTTCGTTTCGTATGGTGAGTGTAGAGAACCGGTGTCCCTTTTTAATGGAATCGAGGCATTCCATCTTAGTCCTCAGGGGTGACAACGCATTTGCATTTTGATCCTTAGTTGAAGGTAAATGTGGATGTCTATGGCCCACAGCATTCACTTAATGGTGTACTCAAGTAGACTGTGTGCTCGTTTGTAAAAAAAAAACACCTTGCGCCAACGCAACTTCCAAGTGATGAGGACATATAAACATTTGCCGTAGGCCAAAAACGAAGTTTTCTTCCACGAATGCCATCATAATTGGTGAAGCAACAACATAAGAATTAGTGTATCATAGTAGTTGGTAAAACTTATAATTAATTACACTCCATTTCAAGGTCTTCCATTTTTCGCGGATTATCCACGGCTCCATTGATGCGGTTTTCTTACAATAGGTAGGCGTTACAACAGCGCGGTGTATACAATTTTTATCGTTTGTACGATTATAACTTATACACGGAACGTAATAGGAATGATAATAGCTTAGAAAATAACATTTGATTCATGCGCGTAAAACTAGTTTGCAATACTAAAACGCACAGAACAATGGAAATGCGATATAAAACGGTTGGTAAATGATAGCACTCTCATTAAAGCTACTGTACCATATCTGAACCTAATAAATCCTGGTTCTTAATAAGCATAATAAAAAGAATTCATTCGATGTTTTTAATGAGTTAAAACGACGTGCTTGACTTTGATAACACCCGATTTTGATTCTCGTTACAGTCTATTAAAGCCCATTGCTGAACATAAGCCTCCCCATAGAAAGCCCAATAGATTGCCGCATAGGGGCGATATTCCGTGGCGGCGGCGGTGTATCGTGGATTGGCACAAAGCGCGGCTTTCTATTAAGCACCCCCCAAAATAAAACAAAAATGCACATGCTTACGGGACTTTATTTTGCTAAAATATTCTGTAACGTTATCAAAATTCACTTTCTTATCCTTTTCTATGAAAAAATGGAAAGATTGCTTGGTCGTGCTTGGCTCATTGAAGACCTTAGTAAGTACGAGTATTTTATTAATTTTAGTTTTGAAAAGCTTTCACATTAAGCTACCGAAACGCAAATAGTTAAAAAAAAATTAGACACAGTGCTAGATCCGGAACAGACTCAGGATAACGACATTTTACGATGAATCTGAGAAGCTCCAAATGTAGTTCGTTGAACCGCTTCTTGGAAAGAAATGCTGGCAGATTCCGAGTGGCGTATAATATCCCTACTGTGTTGTCGAATAAGGTTAAATATAAAGTTGGTAGTTGATATTAAGCAGTACCAGCTATAGACTACTATAATACACAATAGAAGGGCTATCAACCTTATTTTCTACGAGGATCGGTGTTGCCGGGAGCAACATACAAGCAATTACATCGTATTATCCCTACTACAAACCCGATTCGCTGTATTGACAGACTGAGTAAATTTATACATATTACACTTTTGACTAATGATGAAGATCATCATTAAAGAAATAAATGGATTAAATTTTAATACATATTTATTTGTAAATATTGTACATTTGGTATTTTTTAAATAATTTGCATGCAGCGACGCTTGACACGAAAATTGGAAACAATTGTAACGTGAAAAGAGATGTTTTGACATTAATTTATAGGTGTGAATTGACATGTTAGTGGCTACACGGGCTCCGCCCACTCCCCTGTGCTATTATGTATGTATTATTGTATTCTATGGTACCAGCTCTGTTGTTCATTTTTGACATGACAGCAAAAATCTGCAACAACTAGATCTATGCTTTGTATAGTGACAGAAGCTGCTCCGGATCTTAAAAATATACTTAAATTAAGAATATCCAGTCCTCCATATCGTCCCGTGGATATCGTAAGAGGCGACAGAGGGAAATGCAGATGGCAGCAGTGTCTCCCAAATAACAATAAAAACATAAAAAACTGCGGTAGCCATTCCGTCTGCCAAGCATGGCAACTATGACAAATATCTTCCTATGAGGCAATCTATTGGGGAAGTCCATATTCAGCACTGGACTTTTGATAGGCCATAACGGTAACCATAAGGTGTTTATATACGTGGTAGAGTATAAATATACGTGGTAGAGCCACGCTGTAGCTATATTATGGTTGTAGCACGGATGGGTCGGTTCGACCGGGGAAGGACCACGCTCTCTCAGAATACCAGCGTAAAATAGCAGCTTGAAACTGCTGTGTTTCGTATGGTGAGTGTAGTGATCCGGAGATCCTTTTTTACTGGAAACGAGGCATTTCATCTTAGTCCTCACGGGTGACAACGCATCTGCGTTTTCGTTCTTCATCGAGAATAAATGTAGATGACTATGGGCCACAGCATCCACTTACCATCAGGTGTACTATGTGCTCCATTGTCACCCTTATTCTATAAAATAAACTTTTTTAAATTATAATTGCCCTCGGAGTGAAACTAACCCCGAGAGGACGAACCGATTAATAAAAAATAATCCGATCCGAATTGTTTTCCCATTCACTCAAGTTTTAATCCGCATTCAATCTGTAAATTTTTTACAGTGTAATTATAAAATTTATTAATAACTTGCACACAGCGCACCCTATCGGGCCCAGATTTTGTGATTTCCATAGGCACTAGATCGACATATTAATTGTGAATTTAAGTTATATACATTATAAAGATTAAAACCTACCTCCGGTATCGTGGCAGTGGAAGTTCGGATCCAGACCCTTTGCACAGGCCTTGGTGATCTTGTCGATCTGGGCGTGCGTCACATGCTCGAGGAAGCGGCGCAAGTTGGCTCGCGAATGCAACGCCTTCAGCGTCTTCTCATCTAGCTTCAGCATCTTGTACACGCGACGCTTATACTTCAACTGTAACACAAGTTGGGTTCAAATTAGGTTTGATATACATATTTTGTCAGAAAAACTTTGAAGAAAATAATTATTGCCATTTTATTAAAAAGCTGAACAGAAACAGAAACATTTTTATTCAATATAGATTATAAATAGTACTCGTTGAAAGTCACTTTTTTAATTTACAATTGGTTCAGAAAAAAATATCTTTCCTGTGAAGCACCAGCAAGAAACCCAGCGAGACTTTAAAAAAAAATAACAGCTTACAATCATGTATGCTACGGTTTAGTTTAAAGATCTTAATTTACTCATTAATACTAATGTCACTTAAATGTACGTTCATACAATCACAGAACAATATAATAAAATAGTAAACATAAATTAGGGTAGATCAAAATTAAATAGAAGTTGCAAACTTAACTGCGTAAGAGCGATGTTTCAAGTATTGATAATATTAGACGGTGGTGGCTGTGCTCTGGTTTCAAAAGCGGCGGGGGTCCCGGTTCGCCGCCCCGAATTTTTTTTTTTTGTTCGTGCTCGCGGGGGGAGGAAGGCCTGTGTTTGGTGAGAAAAAAAAAAATTTTTAAGGGTTCGCACCACGGGGGGCCCTTTTCCTTACCTCCGAGGGCGCCGCGGGTTGCTGTAACTTTACTTTTTTACTTTAGACGGTGGTCCAAGTTATATAATGTCTTGTTTTTTAATGTGGTCTAATAATTTTTGAGGGAACTTGCGTCTTTTATAGTTGAAGGGAGTTTATTATACAACTGTGCTCCCGCAAATGTTACGGCATTTTTTCCATAATTAGTGCGAATATTTGGTGATACAAGATGGTTTGCGCGGCGTGATGAGTATTTTAGTGTTTTTCCCTTTGTGGTGAATGTTATATTTGAATGGATCATATTATGTGTGATTTTATATATTAATATAAATGTGTTATAGATGAATAATTGTTTGATGTAATAGTAATTTCGTTTCATGGTATGTTGTTTTGGTCGAAGTTAAAAAGTCGTAATGATATACATTTTTTATTAATTTATTTTGCAGTACTTGTACCTTTTGTTGTTAAGTTTTAGTTAACAACACAAAACAAATTTGAAATAGCTTGGTAGCGATCACCCTTCCCAGGGGTTATTATCATCCATAAATTCCTTAATATTATAATAACTCTTTTTATACAAACTTAGTTTAATTACGTTGTCGAACTTTGTGCAGGTCATTTTTCTGGGATTTTGTAGTAAAAGCATGTACATCGCCCCAAGAATGATTTACTGACTCGGTGGAGTCGAGTAACTGATACCGAACCATGGTTGCTGTAGGACTGGGTGTTAATGTCGCTCTTAATTTTATATCGACACACATATAGCGAGTCACAGAACTCGTAATATTGTCTTACTCGTATTATTACGATTTCAGTGGACAGAGTTCAATCTCCGCCGGCACCGGCGAAATCGCAATTTTAAGTGCAAATTTACCACGTTCTAGTTCTTGATGGAAATCATTCTGGAAAATACAGATTAGAGTCCCTTCCACTACAACGTATAAAAATCCACTGTTGAACACAGGCCTCCCCCGTAGGTTGCCTCATAGGTGGGATTTTGTCATAGTTGCCACCACAGAAATCTATATTATATATATATATTTTATATATATATATATATATCAAATTTATTTGATATGTTGAGTTGTAATCAGTAAGATGCTGCAACTCATCTACTATTTCGTTTCTCCCTGTCGCACCTTACGATACCACGGGATATGTGACAATGGATTCTCTTGCGTCGCCACTCATAATTCGGTAAACATATCTGATTAATGAAAATATTTCGAGGATAGGTAATATATTATGAAGTTCGTCAATACGCAATGTAACAGCGCAATTGTTATCTGATCTGAAGCGATCCAAATCCCTTCAGAAATAAAATAAAATCAGTGCCCGGCTATTAGAAGTTTATAGTTGTTACTGTTTATAGTTGTTTCTTTAATTTTTTATAGTATAAACGAGCACACAGTCCATTTGACGGTAAGTAGTTACTGTGTTACCCATAGACATCTGCATCTACTCTAGATAACGAATCAAAATGCAGAATGCCTCGTATCCAGTAAAAAGGTTTGACGTACTAAGATGGAATGCCTCGTTTCCATTATAAAGGGTATCCCTTTACACTTACCAAACGAAACACAGCAGCGTTTACCTGCTATTTGACGCTGGTATTCTGTGAGAGCGTGGTCCTTCCCCGGTCGAGCCGACCCATTCGTGCTAGAACTATACCAGTAATATAGCTGTAGCATGGCGGTAAGTAGTGATGCTGATGAACCTTTACCGTTTTTATATAAAATTGAAGAGATATACGAACTTCAGTCCACCTGATGATAAGTAGCTGCTGCAGTCCATAAGAACGCGCAGCCAACTCCAAACAAAGGTTTCAGAAGCGTTGTCATCACAGAGGAACTAAGATCTCACAGGCTGCAATTATACTGGCTACCATTCAGAACACAACAAAGCAGTTCAAGCCATGCCATTTGATGATAGAAATAGGTAAGAGGTTTGTACCTACCTAGCCTGAGTCCCAAACAGAAATGTAGTCCTGCTGCTTACTTTATTTTTGATATTTGATAGAATCAGACGTTACTTTGCGGAAATCCATTATAATAAAAATATTTATTAATTTGCCACCTTCCGCTAAATAAATACAATGATGTGTCTTACCTGGATTGAAGAGCACCTCCCGCCCTGCCTCAATTGCGTACACTAACTAGCCAGCCGTCACCACTAGTCCCAGAACCACTACTTCCAACACCACTATTCCAGGTAAGACACACCATCAACGACAATACGACACGTGTTTCGCCTCTACACGAGGCATCCTCAGGTGATGTAGACTCTACGGCGGCTGACCGCTAAGTACTTAGTTAGTACGTTATTTAGTACGTTTACTTAACCGCTAACTAAATACACATCATTGTATTTAGTTAGCGGAAGGTTGCAAATTAATTAATATTTTTATTACTTTATTTTTATATAGAAGACACGAACACACACACGCAAACGAGCATACGGTTCACCTGATGTTAAGTGACTACCACTACGAATTGCAGGTGCGTTAAAGTTAAAGTTACATCCTATATACGTCCCACTGCTGAGCACAGGCCTCCCCTCATTTCTGAGAGGGTTTTAGGGCAAGGAAGTGTCCGCCGCGCTGCCCCAATGCGTGTTGGCGAACTTCACATATTTTTTTTTTCTTATTTCTCAGACATGCAGGTTTCCTCATGATGTTTTCCTTCACCGCCGAGCACGTGGTAAATCAGCACTTAAAATTGCAATTGGCAATTTCATTGGTGCCGGCGGGGATCGAACCCGGTTTGCTAGCGTACTGTGAAATTTACTAACCATCTGCTATCATATTGCTAACCATCTGAGCTACTACGGCTCCCACGGCTCCTACGGCAGGTGCGTTGCCGGCCCTTTATTTAAAATTATTCTATGGTCTAAATAAAGATGCACTTCTCTTGCGGTGTTTCAAAAATTCTGTGACATAATCTTCATATATTATAATAAAAGTTTTTTTTTATAGAATAAGGGTGACAAACGAGCCCACAGTCCACCTGATGGTAAGTGGATGTTGTGGCCCATAGACATTTAACCTCAATTAAGAATCAAAATACAGATGCGTTGTTAACCATGAGGACTATAATGGGATGCCTTGATTTCACTAAAACGGTTCTCTAGTTCTCTACACTCACCATACGAAACACAGCAGAATTAAGCCGTTATTTTACGCTAGTATTTTGTGAAAGCGTGGTCGTTCCCCGATCTAGCCGACCCATTCCTGCTATAACCATAATATAGCTTCACCGTGTCTCCACCACGTATAATGAAATTTACTTTCTCAAGTGATGTTGTAAACTTTGCTCATTCATCTGCAGTGCGCTGACAGTAATCAAAAATGTTGCTGTATGGCACAATCAGTGTCAAAATGTGATTTATTTCAATACCACCATACGCCATTATGTAAGTAACCTTTTGTTTCACCTAACAGAAATATTTGAATGGTTACTTAATATCTATCGCGGCGTCATTAATTTGTTTGATTTAATGGAATTGTGTTACATAATCAAGCATTGAATTTTGCAAGAGGTCTAAACGAATTTAGTATATAAAGGATAAATGTAAAGGGAATTGTCGGTATAATAACCTCAAGATATCCAACAGGTCCGTTGAAAGGATAATCGCCAAGTCGACGCTCCTCGTCAAGGAACTTTCCGGCCTTGCCGTTGACCGGAGGACAGAACAGACCATAGTTGAAGCTCTCCTTCAATTCCTGTCAACAAAAGAAAATAAGTTAATTAAAATCAGAAACCTAAAAAAACGTACAAAAAGTAGTTTCGGCAAGTAATAGCAGTTTAATTCTTGGAACCTTTAATTAAACTTAACGAGTTCTGGTTTCTATTAACTGTAGTTAACTACAAAATACGAAATATAAATGAAATGATATCGAAGATGTAACAAACAAAAATCGCATTTCATTCGCAAATTGTTTTGAATAAAAAAAATTATAAAGATCATATCATATCATCTTCTTTCGATAACTAACATAGGTAGGTATTTTTAAATCGAGGTATTGAGTCGTGGAAAACCGCTCGAAGATAAACATGGCGAAGAGATCTCCATTCTTCTTGAAATTTAATTTTAATATTATTTTTCTGCATTTCATAACACATCCCATATTTAATTAAATGAACACTTCTTGTTTACTTATTCTCGTGAGTACAAAAAAAAACGATAATTCGACAAATAAAATTTATTTTATTTGTAGAATTATCGTTTTTTTGTACTATTTAATAAATACAAATATTTACAGTTTTAGGACTCCATTGTAAGTGATCATCACCGGAGAAATTGCAAATGCTTGGCCGCTAAGGACTAAGCGCTTATCGCGATTTGTTTTTTGCTAATATTAGGTCCTTACATATGAAATGGGCGTTTTGTCGTACTGATCGCTTTGATCTGAAATATCTCCTCTTTGGTTAAGAATTCCAAATTCAAATTTATAAATTCATTTAGCTAGTACATTTGAGTTTTGAAAACAGTCATTCATTTGTTTTTTCCTCATTATTTTTTTCTTTAGCGTCGCTTATTACCGCACAACGGACATTAATCAACACATTGATCTTTACAATAAAATAAAATTGAAGTGTCTGTTTGTAATATCCAAATAACAGCGTTTATATTGTTTATAACTAAAAGCACAATTTTTATAAGTTTTATTTGTCTGTCTGTTTGTTCCGGCTAATCTTCGAAAGAGCTGGGCCATTTTCGGCACAAACAAACCATGAAAAAAAAAAACATCATGAAATTCGTAATAAATTCCACGCGGGCGAAGTCGCGGGGAACAACTAGTACAAGATATTAATGAAGCACGAGACAAAGATGTATTTATAAAATGTTAAGACAGATAAATCGAATGGCGGTTTGACAAAGGGAGACAGATTTACAACGGTCCGATTGATGGAACGTGATGGGCACGTCAGAATGTATTGCAGCAACGTTGCAACCTGCAGGGCGGGGTCAGCTCGCTGAGCTCGCATCATGTAAAGCCTAATAAATGAACGCGGCCGGGGTTATTTATGGCTGTAAGGAGACGCTACAGTCGCATAACGTTAAAACTAATTATGTCTCAATTGAGATCGGTATTGTAATGACAATTGTGGTCTGCTTTCACAGTTACAATTTTATATTATCAAAACAAATTTCTAAATTGAATAATCACTAAGACAACTTTTAAATTATTGCTTTTTAAGCTTTATTTGAAATTTGTTGTAATTTGAAGTAAATCATATTTATGTATTTAGACGTACTTATGTATGATTATTGATTTATTGATCACGATAACTAAATTGATAAGAAAAACGGTTTAAGAAGGAGAAACTGTTAGTAGTTTAGGCATTTATTATTAATAGTATACAAGAAATTATTAAATAATAATAATAAAATATTTATATATTATGAATTATATATATAACTTTGGGTAATAAAATATTAAGTATCATTAACCATTTATGGATTAATGATTAATAATAATTTTACAAATTTCTATAGAGTAGTAGTTTCGTAGAAAAACAAACAAAGCGGTGATCTAACCCATAAAATACTTTCCATCTTAGTGGTTGATGTTAGGTGTAGCCCATAGTGACTTATAGTCAGGCTATAAAATAAATTCATAATCTGTGCATCCCATCCATATATAATATAATTTCTAGTGCAAATGCACATTTGATGACTACGTTGGAATGCCTCATCACTGACCATACGAGGGTGGACCCATTCGTGCAGCATAGCTGAACTGGTACAAATAATAGATATCTTTCACATCTTATCAGCACCTCCTGTAATATCATTTCACAGAAGATATGATTGATTTGCGCCCCGCCAGCACAAATTAAATTGTTAATTGCAATTGTAAGTAATGTTTTACCAAGTATTCAGCCGTAAAGGAACACATCACGACGAAACCTATACATGTATGGGAAATCAAACATAAATAACAACGTATTATTTTTATTACGCGCTACTGTGTTTCGTATGGTGTGTGTAGAGAACCGGAGACCCTTTTTGCTGGAAGCGAGGCATTCCATCTTAGTCCTTACGGGTGACAACGCATCTGCGATTTGTCAATCGTAATCGAGGATAGATGTAGATGTCTATGAGCCACAGCAACCACTTATCATCAGGTGGACTGTGCGCTCGTTTATCACCCTATCCTATAAAAAAAGTTACAACATACCTTCACATACAGACTAGCAGGAAAAGTACCACCCTATTTTTGGTCGACACCGTAGTCGGGTATTAAAGTTAGCAGTCATAATAACAACTCCCCTTGGTATCGAAGGAATTATCTTAACTTTTATTTCTTAAGCTTACAGAAATGATACACAATTTCTATTATCTAGAAAACAATTTTAAGTGGAGCAGGATTCAGAGGAAATTGCTTTTAAATGCAAGGAGCTCGCTCTTTTTTTGCACTTCATTGAAATTCCCGATAGAAGTTTTCATTAGCGGCCTTTTCTTAGGTTTTTGTTTTGGTTTTATTCATTCTGATTTTGACCTTAGACTAATATTTTTATATGATAGGGTGACAAACGAGCACACAGTCCACCTGATGGTAAGTGGTTGCTGTGGCCCATAGACATCTCCATATATCCCCGAATACGAATCAAAATGCAAATACGTTGTCACCCGTGAGGACTAAGATGAAATGCCTCGTTTCCAGTAAAAAGGGTCTCCGGTTCTCTACACTGACCATACAAACACAGCAGCATTAAGGTACTATTCCATGCTGGCATTCTATGAGAGCATGGTCCTTCCCCGGTCGAGCCGACCCATTCGTGCTAAATAGTCGTAGCACGAATGGGTCGGCTACTAGTAATATAACTGCAGCACGGCTCTAACACGTAAGGTTGTCATTTTTAATCGCGAGCCCTTTAGTAGTAGACGAGTAAGATTTTTATATCCACATACTTGTATTGTTCGATGGATGGATAATTTATTAGGATAGTATAATTAAAGCAAATGAAACAAATAGGTAAAATTAATATCAAATTTTAAGAATATTATTTTGTTAAGAAAATCATAATAATTACACTCATAGCTATTGGTAATTCCAATTTATTTATTATTGTTCTTGAATTAAAACTAATTTAGTATAAATATTTCTAATTTTTTTGGCGGGCTCACTAATTTTTGTGGTTTCATGGTGTATTCTTACTTCAAAATATCTTTAAGCGACAGCTTTATTGAGGAGCATTCTGTGATTGTCAATATAAGACGACTCATTAATTATCCTATAATATCCATGCTCGTTTGTCACCCTTATCCTATAAAAAATCTTTGTGTGCATTAGTCACCTTTATTTTATAACAAAAAATCGTACATTCGTGGGTCTGGTTGTGTTGTGATGGTCCTCATGTCCCTATCACACTCTGGCTTACTTCCGATCGTATTGCGTACGAAATATCGAACACGTATCGAGACTAGGACAAGTAAATAATAGTAAATACTACACTACACTATAATGTAATCCCCCATACAGTTTACAGCTTCTGTCAAATACGTTCTCAGTTGTCTGTATATGACAAAACCTAACTATTAAAAATAAATAAATAAAATACCGTGTAACCAAAAATGTTCCATCATCTGTGGTACCTATCGGAGGCAGAACCCAGCTTTGGTTTGGTCGCTCCAGCAAAATTGCATTACATCATAAGCAGGAGTGTTACCAGGCCTGGGTTCGCGCATCGACGTCTCGGGATGTAAATAACAGCATTCAGGTCTGGTCCTTCAAATGTATCGTTGTCACAACGACAGAATTGGCGAGAAACTTGTTCGTCTTCCTTCGAGAATACGTGCATTCTGGTCTCTCGTCAAGGCTGTCCAAGGGAACTTCTGCCAGCCATCTCTTCCATTTCTGCACAGGGAGGATGACTCACTGGCACACGCTGCAAAGGACAAAGCCGATCTACTGGGCTCTCTCTTTGCATCCAACTCGACTCTTGATGACGGGGGGAACACACCGCCGACCATCCCGCGGTGTGAGTGCTCCATGCAGGATGTGATAGTTACCCAACACTCGGTGCGCAAAGCATTCCTCTCCCTGGACATCAACAAGTCGAGTGGGCCTGATGGCGTCCCTCCTATTGTGCTGAAGACATGTGCTCCGGATTTGGCACCGGTTTTAACGCGTCTTTTCTGGTACTCCTACCCCTAGGCGTAGTCCCGAAATCATGGAAGACAGCCTTCGTGCACCCGATCCCTAAAAAAGGTAACCACTCTGATCCATCCAACTATAAGCCTATCACCATCACCTCTGCCTCCTTGTTCTCTAAAATAATGGAATCTATCATTAACAGCCAGCGCTTGCGGTACGGTTTTCGTCGCGGTCGTTCGGCTGGTGATCTTCTGGGTCACCTAACTCATAAACGGGCGAAGGCAGTAGAGTCCAAGGGGGAGGCGTTGGCCGTTAGTTTGGACATAGCGAAGGCCTTCGATCGGGTTTGGCACAAAGCGCTTCTTACGAAGCTTCCTTCCTATGAGCTTCCCGAGAAATTGTGCAATTGGATCACCAGTTTTCTCGCTGATCGGAGCATCAAGATCGTTGTAGACGGTGCATGCTCCGATTACAAGCCTATTAACGCTGGTGTTCCACAAGGCCGCGTGCTATCACCAACGCTGTTTCTTCTGCATATCAATGACATGTTGCAAATCGGTAGCATTCATTGCTAGGTTGCAGACGACAGCACTGGTGATGCTTCATACACTGGCCGTCGCAATATTTCTCGGGAAAACGTCGCCGAGTACTGGGACAAACTTGTGTCTGAAGTCGAGACTTTGTTGAACAAAATCAGTTATAAAGTAGCTTCATAAACATAAATCAACATTATGCTAATCCCACTCTGATATTCGCCATAGTTGCGGCTTAAGCATCCAATATACACCTTCTCACCACGTGGGTGACGTAAGTGGCGAAAAGCGAAAATAACCTGATAACTTTTATTGGTCTCTACTGGATGAATGAATACATCTTGTACACACATAAATATTTAACGAACTTTTTATTACCACAGGATTTTATTTCAACTGTAAAAATATTCGGAATGTGATGTAAACGTTCATTTTCCAGTATTATAGATACCGAGGGATTATAGATCATTACTAGAG